GAAATGGGAAATTTTTGTGAACAATATGGTCTCCCTCCAGTAGCACCATCAACCTCTAAAAAACTTAAGCACAAATCCCATAAAAAACATAAGTCATATTCAAAACATAAATCTTATTATAAGAATAATAAAGATTTACTCACTAAACCTCAATTTTATAAAAAATCCAAAAAGACTATTAGACCAAAACCTAAGAAAACAGGGAAAATGTCTAAATGGTTAAACACCAATAAAGACACTATAACATGTTATAACTGTGGGAAAAAGGGTCACAAAAGTCCTGATTGCCCAATTAAAAAAGAGGTTAAAAAACTTAATCTAACCAATGAAGAGACTGAAGAAATCCTAAAAATCTTCAGACTTCATAATCCGGAAGACTCAGACTCAGACAATTCTGATAACTCAGACAATCCTGATAATTCCCTTGACTCTTCTACACCTTCTACAACAAGCGAACCTGATATTAAATTAGGATGTAATGACAATTGTTGTAAAAAAATAAGAGTAATCACAGAACAAACTGAAGAACAAATTTTAATTGACTTAATCAGTAAAATTGAAGAACCGCAATTAAAATCTAAATATATAAAAAATCTTAAGGATCTGTTTGTCAAAACAGAAAAAAACAAACATCTTATAATAGAAAAACCTTTAATTAGTATTAACAAAACTATGGAAAGATTTAGTAAGGAAAAGAAAAAAGAATTAACCTTACAAGATCTTTATAGTGAAATTAATAAATTAAAAGTTGAAATAAAAGATTTAAAGGCACAAGACAAACTCTTGGCAGAAAAATTAAGTCTTTTATCCGACACTCTTGAGCAAGAACCTCAAGATAATTACCAATCTGACAGTGATAAAACTGATAATTCAACTAAGACACTTTCCCAGCGGATACCCGTAGCCTCCACCTTCAATGTGGAAAACTCTGGTTTAACGAAGCTGCCATCTCACGATGGGTGTCTACAAACAGAAAATCAAATTAACTCTATCAAAGAAATTAAATTACAAAAATGGTATTTCCAAATCAAAATCATTATAGCAAATGATTTTATTATTAATACAGTAGCCCTTATTGATACAGGTGCAGATGTAAACTGCATGCAAGAAGGACTTATCCCAACCAAGTACTATGAAAAAACCATTCAAAAATTAAAATCAGCTAATGGTACAAACATGGATGTCAAATATAAATTACCTAAAGCTCATATCTGCCATGACAATGTTTGTTTTAAAACCTCATTTGTCTTAGTAAAAGATATGACTGATGAAGTGATTTTAGGATTACCCTTTATTTATCTTCTGACCCCGTTTCAGATAACTAATGAAGGCTTAGTCACCCGACCTCTTAATCAACAGGTTAATTTTAATTTCTTACTCAAACCTGAAGTAAAAGAACTCAGGCAACTTAAAGATGAATCTGTTTCCAAGTACCTTAGAAAAATTAGCCAGATAAATTTTCTTAAACAAGAAATTGATCATAAAAGACTTTTAGAACAACTAAAATGTCCCCTCTTAAATGAGAAGATTAATCAGTTCAAAGAAAAACTTGAAAATGAAGTTTGCTCTATGCTTCCTACAGCCTTCTGGCATAGGAAAAAAACATACAGTCGAACTTCCTTATGTTAAAACATTTAATGAAAAACAGATCCCTACTAAATCTAGGCCAATCCAAATGAACCATGAAGTCATGGAAATTTGTAAAAAAGAAATTTCTGAACTTCTTAAAAATAATATCATTAGGAAATCTAAATCTCCTTGGTCTTGTCCTGCTTTCTATGTTGTAAAAAATGCAGAATTAGAAAGAGGAACTCCTAGGCTTGTAATCAATTACAAACCTTTGAATGCTGTTTTGGAATGGATCAGATATCCCATCCCCAATAAGCAAGACCTAATCAAAAGATTAAAAAATGCCATGATATTTTCAAAATTCGACTTGAAATCTGGTTTCTGGCAAATACAAATTGCTGAGAAAGACAGATATAAAACTGCCTTTACCACACCATTTGGGCACTATGAGTGGAATGTTGTTCCTTTTGGTCTCAAAAATGCACCCAGCGAATTTCAAAATATTATGAATGATATATTATCTAATTTATCCCATTGCTCTATTGTCTACATTGATGATATTCTTATCTTTAGTAAAACAATAGATGAACATTGGAAACACCTTCATGCCTTTATAAAGACTGCCAAACATAATGGTTTAGTCATCTCCGCTAGCAAAATTAAGTTATTCCAAACCAATATTAGATTTTTAGGCTACAATATTCAGCAATCTACCATAGTTCCCATTAGTAGAGCCATTCTATTTGCTGAAAAGTTCCCAGATGAAATCCTTGACAAAACCCAATTGCAGAGGTTCTTAGGTTCCCTTAACTATGTTTCTGACTTCTATCAGAATCTTAGGCAAACTGTCAAACCTCTCTATTCTCGACTCAAAGACAATCCTACTCCTTGGACACCTGAACATACTTCTATTGTCCAGCAAGTCAAAAAATATATCAAAACCTTGCCTTGCCTTGGAATTCCCTCCATCAATTCTTTCAAGATCATTCAAACTGATGCCTCTAACATTGGTTATGGTGGTATTTTGCTTCAGAAAGAATCTCCTACTTCTCCTGAACAAATTGTTCGTTTCCATTCTGGTATTTGGAACACAACTCAAATAAATTATTCTACCATTAAAAAAGAACTCTTATCTATTATCCTGTGTGTCTCAAAATTCCAGGATGATATATTAAATCAGAAATTTCTCATCCGAGTTGATTGCAAATCTGCAAAAGATGTTTTACAAAAAGATGTCCAAAATATTGCTAGTAAACAAATTTTTGCCAGATGGCAATCCATTTTAAGTATTTTTGATTTTGACATAGAATATATTAAGGGCAGTAATAACTGCATCCCTGATTTCCTAACTCGTGAATTTCTGCAGGAACCCAATGGCGGACAAAAAAACTCCTAAACCCTCGTCCTCCTCCAAAATATATATATATATATATATATATATATATATATATATATATATATATATATATATATATATATATATTATATATATATATATATATAAAAGAATACTAAAATTCTAAAATTCAAGTTTTATTTTAAAATACATTATAATATTTTTTATATAAACTGTTAATAAAATATGAAAAGGTTACAATGATTGAAGAATTATGTTGATTTGATATAAATTGTTTTTAAAAAAATATGTAAGATTATTTTTTATCTTAAAAATAAAATGGTAAAAATTTTGAATAAAAAAAATACACATATGCAAGTATAATGTTATTTTTATATTTGAAATGAATCATATTTTATTAATGAAGTTTTTGAAGATTTTTTTAAATATTTTATTGAAAATTATTGTGATGCACATATTTTTAAAGATAACATAGTCAATTAAAAGTTTCATAGATATTAATATTTATATATAGCAAATAGAGAATTAAAAGAGATGTCAAGGATAATTTGGAGATTCAAACACATAAATATATTATGGTAATTTAGATATTCAAGTACAGAAGGATAGTGTGGTATTTAAAATTTTTTATAAGAGTAAAATAGTGAATAAAAAATTTTCATGCTAAGGCAAAAGTTTCCTTTATTAGTAGTATAGATGGAAAAAGATAATATTATATATATATATTATTTGGAAAATATAATGAAATATTGAAGAAGTTTTTGAACACTTTATTAAAAATTATAATGATGCATATATTTTTTTAAGGGTAACGTAGTCAATTAATTTTTTTTATAGATATTGATATTTATACAAAAATAGAGAATTAAAAGAGATATTAGAGGGTAATTTGAAAATTTAAATACATAAAGATGTAATTGTAATTTAGATATTTGACTATGACAAGATAGTATGGTATGCAAAATTTTTTATGAGGATAAAATAGTGAATTAAAAGTTTTTCACTTAAGATATTTTTATTACTACTATATATATATATATATATATATATATATATATATATATATATATATATATATATATATATATTTTTTTTTTTTTTTTTTTTTGGCTCGACTGACATGGGTGTCCGGGGGCTAGTTTTCATGCACTTCGACTAATCTCCTCTTTGGCCTCATCAAAGGCAAGTCATTCATGCCGAAACTAGTATATTTATGATAGATAAATTCCTCGTGACCTCTCTAAACCATTCTTACAACAATGGCACCCCTCTTAACCCCAGGGGGAGCTACACAGTACTACTCAATTTTGATTTTGCTAAAAAAATATCAGAGGTTTTAAAATCTTTTAAATTTGTTGCCACGAAAATATTCTCATATACATTTATCTACTCAATCATCTCTTGCATTTCGATTAAATTTCTTAACTCTCAATTTAACGAACTTAGATAAATATTAAGTTAGCTGCATCCCTTAACATATGTATAAAAAATCATTATGAAACTTTATGTTATCTCTTCACTTATATTCTGCCACCTCTCTAGCCATTATTAATTTGGATATTTTAAATAATGAGATTATTATATAATATTTTTATCGTATAAAAGCTAGTTGAGAACAATTGTAAAGAGAAGATTGTTCCATTATGGTGTACGCGTTAAGAATTCAAGATTCTCTTATATGTAGAGTAAAGATATGTACGTATTTTCCATACCTTGCAGTAGTAAAGGCACGTGTAACGGGCAACTTCTTTTTATTTTTTATTATTTTTAATTTTTTAATCTAATTACTGTTAAATGAGCAATATCATTAACATTTAATTTAGACGCTAGATTTAAACATTGAATTACTAGTGGTTCTCTGAATCTTTTTTTTCGTTTGGGGGGGGGGGGGGGGGGGTGGTTGAACATCACAATGGCTGTCCTGCTGCCACAGTTAAGGGCGCCACTTGGGTCAATTGGCTTGAGCTTGAGAAATCAAACCAAGTACTCAGAATTTGGGTTGATTTTTAGGTTACACAACTTGAACTAAAAATTGACACTCTTCATGTTTACATTTTTACAATGAATTCAAATTCTATCCAGCATATGACATTCTCCTTCCTTGCTTTTCCATACGCTTGCTGAAGAAGGCCCTCTGGAGTAAAATGGAGTGCAGGAATACTATATGACCAAACTCAAAGTCGCAGAAGTCGATCATTATATACTACAACATTTGTTTGTTGACACATGGCTGACAAAATGTCCACCTTCAACAGCTTCAAAACACCAATCATTTTACAGTAATATCTATTCATGTTATTTGCAGCGGCCACAAACAAAATTTGGTTCATAGAACACTGAATATGCACCTTTGGGCAGTCATATATATGATGTTCTGCTTGTTTTCCCTAAAGTCAGTCTACCAGCATCATAAACACAGAATCAACCATACGTTCCCGGAATGATATGTTAACAATGGAACAACCACAACCCCACCTAGCATTACAGCTTGCAGTCTCTGTTCATTGAAAAACCAAGTTCTTTCTATTGCCAGGAACCATCACATCAGCTTAATTGCAGAACTTGGCTGTATCGCAACATAGGACTCGTGGGTTTGCCAAATTGTAAGGTTAGTGGAGCAAAATACTGGTTAATGCAGAACTAAGCACGATTAAAAATAGCTATCTGCAAAGAAGGACTAAGCAATAACCATAAGAAAAGCACAATTTTGAAATCCATGAACCCATATCTAAAACGATTTTCTTGTTTTCATATCCCTCTAAAGTCTCACATCAGTATGGCAAGCACAATTAACATATAAATACATTGTAAGGAGGCAAAGTAAACTATAAGAATTGGGAAAAGGTCAAACCGTTCGTTAATCAAAGAGATCAGGACAACACCTTAGGTGTTAACAAAAGCGGCCCCGCCAACCCTGCAGGAGAGTCCATTCTCCGAGTTTCTTTTGTGGAATTGGTCTTCTCAAGAAGCCATTTTTCTTGGCAATCCAACCGAATCAACCAGCCACAAATAGCAAGTGCATTACAATCAACTAAATTTACCAATTTCCATCTTTTTCCTGATTGCCCTTTGGCCATGGTGTATGAATGTATCTAGTAATCCCTGACATAGTAAACACACCTGAACAGATAAACAAAATAAATGTAACATATCAATTAGACCATTAGGAGAAAAAAACCATAAGATATATAGTAGAGGAGATCAGCAACGTTGGGGTTGACATAAAAGATATGCAGAATTACTAAGAAATTGAAAAAGTTCACAAGTAGATAAGCAGATAGTAAGATGCTCTCACTTGCCAGACCATCATCTTCTGCAATGGGCAAGTAATGTGGATATTTATATCACAGAACTTGGGCAAGTCAAGCTGCCCAAAGGGTTGCTCCGCCGTGACCCCCAACCACCCGTGTGAACCCACAACCGCTTCGACCGCGACGATATCAGTGACCATTAACGCAAGCCATGCGTCCGAACATTTATTAGGTAGATGTGATGCTTTTTCAAACGCAACCTAAACGTGGCAATGAGAAAGATGCAACAGCCAAAGGGAGAGCGGGCTCCCAAGGTCTATGACTGCGACTGGTCACCATGGGACCATGGCCTCGAGAGGACCATGTCCGCAATACCCCTAGTACGCTCCTACTCGGGGTCCTTCTTTCCCCCTCTAGACCCTTCCTCGGGACCTTTGTCAAGATACCCAATAGAGGAAACTCGCATAGTTTCGGTCCTTTAGCCACCAATTCACATGTCCCATCCTCTAATATGCTGATCCGGTCCAATAACCCTAATTATCTTAGAAGTCTCTCTGAATCCCAGTCAAGCGGTGAGCCATACACTGGGAGGCATGCTTGAGTAGACTAAACCTTTGAGATCCTGCCCAAGCCGACGTTGACAATTGTGCTCATCTGGCCCAATTACTTAATTCTCCATTGAGGAGGGTCATACTCCCCTGTCCGACACCTCTTTAGTTCAGTGGACTAGTTGAGCAACGACATCCAATAGGTTGAGGATACCATTCTCGCAACGGGGGGGACGAGTCTCGCCGAGGTTGCCCCCACACTTCTACGATTCCACTTCTGTCCAACATTGGTGAAAGGTTTATTTTGCCACTTCCAATGCGATAGAGATGTATTTCACCTTGATGCAGTATTATGCTTGAGGGCGTCGCGCCTAGGGACATCACACCTTGGTTGCCGTGCCTGGGGGCATCGCACCTTGGGTGTTGTGCTTGTTGCTGTCATGTATACTAGTCCAGCTGGACTCTGTCGGGCCCCATTTCGATGTCAACTAATAATTGTTGCCAATTGTCCTATTATTGTATAGACACGTGTCTTGAAGTTTTCGGATACTACATAGAGAATAAAGGGCTTGCAAATGGAGATAATGCTTCGTGACACTGCACTCCACCACACTGAACTTATTTGTGAACACTGCGCATATTCTTGAATGGTGATGTGTCAGCCAAACTCGTGCTTTTTCTTTGAAAACCCATAGAAACTAAGTAGAAAAGAATGATGAGACTTGATTGTTCACACACATGATCACTTCTATTTTTTGCAAGCACACCAACTCACCCACACAGAAGACATAGAGTGTGACAAAGTTAGGGTATGACCTCCAACTATAGCACAAACATTTGTCAGGAAATGTAAGAACGAAACATGCTCTCAGTGAAAGTCACCTGCACCAGGATATCAAAAATAACAAAAGATAAATAGTTCTATACACATTCGAAGAGATTCTGGTAGTTCATTTGTGTCACAAAAAGGTGGGGAGCCTGGGAATCAGTTTGGTTGGATGAGTTCTCAACATGTTACGTTAATTAAATAAAGTTGCAAAAATGATACAATATAATTAAGAAAAAAGGTGGCGTGGATTGCATGAAAGCTTAATCAGTCAACCTGTACACTAATGTGTCAACACTGACAAGATCTTAACTTGCTTTTGACAACAAAACCAACCTTGATTGGTGAAAGGTCATTGCTTTTGACAACAAAACCCACCTTGATTGGTCTAAGGTCATAAAAAAAGAAAACACCAGGAAGCGACTGAAGGTGGCCTATGTCAGCACCCCTAAAATGTTCAGTTACAGAGAACTGCATAAAAGAAAAAATGGTGCATCTCATGTCATGATCAATAAAAAAGGGATCAAAGCCAGAGATAACTTCAATGATAATCAAACCTGATTCGAATGGATGGTATGTCCACAGACATCTGTGCAGACAGTAGGTACAACCTGCAGTATAGATCAAAATTTTCTGAAATCCGAGTGTATACAAGTGAAACAAACAATAAACAGCTTAATCAATAAAACCTATTTGAGGTTGCACTGAAGTCATGGGTTAGAATGGAGCTTGATAAAAAATTTCAAGCAAAAAAGAAAAAGCCCAATATATCTGCAACTCAACTCTTCTTCCAGTAGTTATGATTTTTCTTTTCCCGGGAACATGAAATATTTGTATTATTCATTCGCTGAGGTAATCTGTTTAAATCACTATCAAACTGCTGTAGCAGTTGTTCTTATGAAAGCAGCAGAAGAAACCAAGCTACTCTAACTGAGTTCATAAAAACATGATGATGCTTGTTTGTACCACTGTCGAGCTTAGCTTAATCTAAAGTTTTAGGCATACTACCATGATTTATCATGGTGAATTCGCAATAGCAGTTGTAGTCATGGAGCAACAGAATTAGAATGCACTTGATGATCAACTTGCTGGGTTTCATCTATGATCTAACTGGCAAACAGCCAAAAAATAATTCACATGTATTCTAAGTGCATCAATCTAATCACGAGCTGTTTGACTTCCTACAAAAACACACAAGATGCTGGAGGATGAGTAAAACAATGAGTCGAAGCCATTATAGCATAATGGGTCAAGTGCTGACATGGAATCTTAGGGGAAAGAAGGAGTAAGAATTTAAAACACATTACCCAAAAAAATAACTAAATAAATAAAACTTGGCATGATTCGATGCCTAACAAGATGGATCAGCACAGACTCAATCTACTATAATTTTGCAGAGCACTAGAGGCACTATTCCTAGGCAACTTGCCAAGCCACATTTCTTTATTAGTAAGAGCAACTCCAAAAGGCTAGCTAAACCCTTTTTTTAGCTATTTTAGATAGCTTATTCCTGAAATGTGGCTCCAACAGACTAGCTATTACCCTATCTATTTCCCATAACCCCATTTTCACTAGCTACATATAGCTAGCTACTTCTCACTAGTTACATCCAATAAAACCCCTCCAAAATCCAGTAAACTTCCCCAAAAATTCAGTAAACTCCCCCAAAAATCCATCAACAGCCCCCAAAAATTCAACAAAACTTTCCAAAAATTCAATAAATTTCTCCCAAAAATCTGACTTCGGTTATTTGTGTAATTTGAGGTGATTTTATTTTGGATTTTGTGATTTAATTTGAGAGAATTTGGTTTGAAAGTAGTAATTTTTGAGAGGTGAGTTCTCTCTTCTAGCCTATAATTGATTAAATTTGTATAATGTATAGTTGAATTGCTATTTGTTGAATTTTATTATTGAAAGTTAGTTAAAATTAGTTGAAGTGGTTAGCTAAAATAGAGAGCGTTTTTGGAGTGAATTTGAAAAGTGGTTAGCTAAAGTAGATAATACAATATTTAAATATTTTGAGTAGTTATTTTAGATAGCATTGTTGGAGATGCTGGTAGGCTACAGAAGTAAATATGTCATTTTTTTGTATTATTTTTAGAGCTATAGTCATTTTTTTACTTTGTGCTTTAAATAACATTTTTTTCAAATAAAATAAAAAAACAACAGCCTCTTTCCACAAGTCTTGCTTCTTCTTAACCTACCAAAACAATCAAACAGCCCATATTATGCTTTGGCCATTTAAACCACATTTACATAGCTTCAACTTGAGGTCAAAAAGCGAAACAAGACCTTGATGAACAAAAGGTCATATATGGTGGTAATCAGAACTCTAAAGACTAAGGTACCTTGCTTGCACAAGTTGAAACACGTGTATAAGAAAAGAGAAAACTAATGACTACAGAGGCATTCATGTAAAACACTAACCTTTAAAAAAAACTGGTACATCCCATTTGGTGTTTGTTGTGTCACACTGCAAGTCTAAGCATTCAGAATTATGACAGATATTCTAATATGGAAATGCCTCAACAAATAAAGAAGATGGCTAAAGCATAGCACATTAAATGACTTAACCAAAAAAGAAGCTGAAAGATTCGTTTAGTTGAAACACAATATGTTTTATAACATATACTACACAGGACTGAAGGCATCAGGATAATTACTTACGTTAAAACTATCCTTTTGAAATGCTAGCAGATCATGCACATGAACATTTGATTGCTGAAAACTTTTCCCAGGTGTGAAATGAAAATTTCCAGCCACCTTATTGACTTCCAAGAATCCATATATGTTGCATCCTTGACCTTCTTCATCTTTAATCCATTGTACAAAACCTTCACTTCTGCACTGATGTTATATAGAATACCATGAAAAGCTATCAGAATAAGTTAAAAAATCATCTTGCAATCCATGTGTTCATGGAAACAAATCTATAAATCATGCTCATTCTAATGGAAGGGGGAATCATAACTTAAAAAGTTGGTACAACCAAAACAATCAGCCAAGATGTGCCTTATGATGTGCATTAAAAAATAAATAAATAAATAAATTTCACAAAGAATTCACATTTGTCCAGAGGATATGGAATCAGAGGAATAATTGAAGTACAACACACATACATGCACAGCAGGGCTCAGTAAAGTAGGAGGTAGGTTTTTGCACGTAGTAACATGAGGAGTGCAAGTATTCACCAAGGCTCACAGCTTATCACAGGTCATTATGCACCACCAGAAAAATCACAGAAACAAGTGCACACAATAGAACCAAATATAATAGGGCACTGACCTTTTTCTAGAATTGGAGGAAAAATGTTAGATGCCAACAGGCATATGCTAGTATAGGAAAATTTCCACTTGACCGTGACCAAATATGTTCAGAAAGATGCTTCTGCAGCTGGCCTTAATGTACGAGCAATTACAAGAAACGATGAGGTTTCGAAATTAAGTGGTGATTTCATGTGAAACACTTTACAAACCAAGACAAGCAATTTTCTGCCTTTCTAACCACTATTAGAGTTGCATACCTATATTCAAGCATCATCTTTTTTCTTTGTTGTTGTGTTAGATTTCTTCGACTTCCTGTTTCCCCTTATTACATTGTATTTATATGTTTCTAGTCATGTACTTTGTATCATCCATAAAAAAAAAAAAGCTCTCCTTGCTACTCCGTGACAGTATTCTACAAAGGGGTCTATTACAGTAGAACTATTTTAAGTTACTAGATGCACTACTCCCTCTCTTCCCCTGTAATGGGCTGTCTATAAATATAAACAGTCATGCCTTTGAGGCAAGTGAAGCCTTACACGGAAAAGATTGTCTTGGGTTATGGCTTTAACTAAACAATAAAAAGGGGTACAATAGCACAGACAGTCATAGAAACTTGGTAAGGATCATAAAATCAATCAAAGTATGGGAGCTTTAGTATCCCAATAGATTGACCTCTATTCAAATGGGAGGTTGAACACAAAAAAAATCTGATATATCCAGAGACACACACACCCATAGACAGAGAGATAGCAAAGGATACACAAGAATTCAAATCATTCCTCAAATAGAAATATACTGAAGATAAAGACCTCAAACCATGTGCATTTGTGCTTTTGCATTCGACGCCCATTTGTCACTATCAATGGCATTCTGTGTTCATAGCACACTTAATTAAGGACATGGTAAAACCATCCAAAAATAATTTTGTAACTACATTATGCATCGAGGTGGTGTTAAATGTTGTTATGAAGGGACCTGGTGATTTCCTAAATATAATTAAATTGGAAATATAACATATATAAGTAATTTTTGTTGGAAACAATATGTATATAAGCTATGCTTAAGGTGTGTAACTCAAAATACTTCATCACCACAAAGGCAATTTTTTTATTTTTTTGTGGGTTTTCTACACTAAGGTTATGGTTATATTTATGCACAAAAGAAATATTTTTATTCATGCGTAAGATGGGATATTTAAGATATATACA